CTTTAGTAGTAGCAGTGGTGGAAAGAACAAGTGGATGATGAAGACGAAAACAGGATAATAAGGCGAGTTTAGTTATAAATAGCTAGACAGCGCCAGATAATAAACAACAATGGAGAAAACAATAAGGGACTCCCATTTACAATCCAGTCCAGCTGCTCGAAACTAAGGTACTTCTTCAATAAAGTTCTGTCTGCGGTAGTATAAAGTAGGTACAAGTGGTGGTTCTACTTGTGAACGAAGTATGTAAGCTGCAAATTTATAGATTTGCAAAGTGAGTGAGAACTAGAGCTGTGCACGGGCCCGATTTTTAGAAACCCGGCCCGCCCAGAACCCTACTGGAAAAAACCCGGCCCTACTGGGTTTCTCTGGACAAAAAGCCCGGCCCGCCCAAAACCCTACTGGAAAAAGCCCAGCCCGCCCGGCCCTATAGGGTTTTTCTGAAAAAAAAGCCCGGCCCGCCCAAAACCCTACAGGGTGGGGTTTTTTTGGGTAAACCCACCCATTTGCTGTTCGGCACGTATTTATCCTAAAAAACCGCATTTGCTAAGGCTCTCGGAGACTCGATTAGCCATGTACACTAGGTATTAATAAAAAATGCAATGTTGGACAAATCTGTAATGTAACACTTATTATTATCAGTATTTAGCAAATCTGTGTTATTTTAGTTTAAACAAAAATTGGTCTTGTAGAGCTTATTTATAATTTTGGGGAATAAACGTAAGGTCCGACAATGTTCCTGGGGATAGACAAGTATAATCTAGAGAAGTCGTAGCACTAGTGCTCGAAAAACTTTCTGGTTTGTCCTGCCGGCATTATGTGTCCAATGTTTGAAATTGCGGCACCGCATTAATTAGAAATGTCCCCTCGAGTTTGCTTTCGACAATTTTGGGCATATACATATGCTCACTTGTTGCTGTTTGAGCTTTTTGTAATTAACTTTCTTTAATTTTACGAACAAAATACGTAAATTTGAGTTTTGTGTAGAATTTAGCGCCCCAATTACATTGATGGATTGATTGTCTTAATCTCACTGAAACCGCCAGTGAAAACAATTCCATATCATTACAGATAACAATTCCGCTTTAGCTGGGGCTATACTATAAAGTTTTGTCTCAAATTGTCATTGTACTTTATCACTAGGGTAAATTGAAAAGCCCGAAGCCCTACAAAAAAGCCCGGCCCGCCCAAAACCCTACTGGAAAAAGCCCGACCCGCCCGGCCCGACTGGATTTTCCTGGGCAAATAACCCGGCCCGCCCAAAACCCTATAGGGTAGGGCAGGGTATGGCTTTTTTAGGGTAAACCCGACCCTACGCACAGCTCTAGTGAGAACCTCACTCAAATGGGGAAAGTAACTCGAGCGCATATTATTTAGTGGTTTGCAGAATCCTAATAATGCGACTCTAATAATAAAAGCGGTTTCAAAATGATCTGTCAAAAACCGTGCAGAATTGCGCCAATATGACACCCTCACCTCACAGTAAAGTTTCAAGTATCCCACTTTATACGTACGTACGTAATCTATCTGTTCCTTACGCTACAATTGAGCAATTTTGAGTGTCACATACTACTGAACTGATATACATGCATAAATAAGTACAATGGGGTGCGGAAGGGCGAAAACCTCGCCTTTTACAATGAGAATTTGCATTCCAATTACTTTACCACGACTGAATTCATTCAAGCAACGACACGCTTTAATTACAAAACATATAGAATAATGCTGGTAATTTACTTGACGCTTTATTGGGTTTTAAACGTAGCCTGCAAAATATTAAATTGTGTCATATGCATTGTCAAACTGTTTTATTCCGCATAATACACATTGCTCAATGCATACAAAAGTAATTCCTGATTCGTTCCCATATTGGTTTTGTGTACTTATTTGTTACAGCTCATAAATCAAATATACGTAATTCTAATAATGAGCAATTCGAATATTGGAACTGGGTTGAAAGGATACATTCAAACAACAATAAAGCCCTGCCTGACGCACAGACACGATAATGGGCTGGATGCTCCATTTAAATGATTCACCGCATCATCATCTACTAAAAAGCAGAGTCCAGTCCAGTTGTCCATCAAAATATTTGAATCACAGCATCCATCCCCATTAAATCTGACTTCCGCTCCACTCTTCCTCATCCCTCCACATCTGTCCATTTTCATTGCATTTGCTGTGACACGACATGCACGCCGTGTGACAGCAGGTAGGCTTGGGAAAATTTATCATACGTTGATCCCATGCAACCAATGTTGGGACATTTTGAGTCCCCAATCCAAACTAAAATACAAAACATTCTGCGTTCCAATTTTCCTACTAAATAAACTATGTATGAAACATGCGGAAATCGGTCTTCGCTTATGTACAATTCTTGGATGAAAATACATACAACAACGAACGCTTACTCAACAACGATAAGCAAACAAAAGCCTACAACAAACTTAAACACTTCTCCGTGTCTGCTGGAAGCTCTTCTCTAGCCGTTTGATTATTATTGGACCAAACACTAAAAGCTCAGAATAATACGTTAAACATTTACTCTGCTCACTTCCGATGTTTTAGTTCACTTGAGGTGAGACAAATGGGCATTGTCCTGACAGTGAAAACGCATTACTTCATTATTATTATTATTGGTATTATGCTAGCTAGCTACATTTATGCCTGGCAGAGTTTCGGGTTTCAAACTAGGTATTATTGACATTTATTCCTTAGTGTCATATTTTATTAAACGTGACTAATAAGAATTGACACTCTTGACTCTATACAAATTGTAACTGGCAACTGTTCTCCGAATCGAAATAGTGATAATCGATGTGACAAAACATGCATGTCCACTCACGCAATATTGGAAGATAAGAAGTAAATAAAAAAAAGTAGCGTGTAGTAAGTTGCTCGAATGCTCTGACAGCTTTCCAATCATCAGGTATTGATTACCAATATGAAAAAATAAATCTATCCGCCTGGTAAAACACACGAGCGACGACGGCGACTGCTGATATTCATCACTGTCAGTGTCAAAGTGATTACGGAATAATAATATTCCTCTTGAGTTAGTTTTATTTACGGGCAGATGCGAGATGCTCGTGCTTCTGCTGATATTCGTGCATGCAAACAAAAGTTATATTTATGCTACACCCTCGTCGATAAATTGATTCGATTAATGCAAGTTTACAAACCGTCAACATCAAATTGTTATTATACATTTTTTTTAGATAACGAAACTCACAGTTAGAGTTTTTTGTTTGCAGGCAACTAAACGTTATTATTGTCCTGTCGCACGGACCAAATATTGATTTTCTTATAGGAAGCGAGCACAAAATGACAGAGATCACTTCCTACTATGCATAATGCGCTGTAGTACAGTGTACACAAGATGTAAAAGGACCGTGGAGGAGGAGGCGAAAAATCAAGAAGGAAACAGGAACATTATTTTGCATAGCGTAATGAGAATGATGCATTATTTACATTGCTGAGAAACAGCATAGCTATCGGACAAGAACCTCATAGCGAAAATGCATGTATCTCGCTAAATCCTAACCTTGGGCAAACCATGCAGCAAAGAATTTGTAGTCATGTATATATGTATATATTGTTAACTAACTCTTTACATGTATACTGGATGCGATTAATGGATAAGATTCATGGCATAAGACATCATCACCAGGAATTTATCATCCCCCAATATAAGCTCTCCGTCACTACCATTTATTTATTTACCTCAGGAATAGCTTAGACAGGCCGTATATCATACAAAATAGTGAGGACAAATCGCTTGAGCTTGGAAAACCTCTCACAAAATCTTGCGTATCAATCTACCTGATTCACCTCAAGATGATTCATTATTATTACTCCACCACCAATAATAATCTCTTATTGTCATACTCTCGAGGTCACTTTTAACCCAAACAACAAACAATTTCCACTACACAACTTCCATCATCATCTTCTCGTAAAGATGAAAGGATGTAATTTTGCTAACTAATTGCAATTTTAATAAGTAGTGTAGTCATTTATAATGGGACACGAAAACTTTTAGTCAATAAAAGACAACCAACTGTGACTCTGTTGAGGTGGCCGACGGACGTGTTCATAAAGATTAAAGGGAACCTCTCTCTCTCTCCCCAAGAGGTCGAGATAGGGTTGACAAAAGCTATCAAATGTGATGGAGAAACTAAAACTACAACGAGCCTAATTTAATTCAAGAAACTTTAAATCGCCAAAAACTTATCGTAATCTTTGATGATTTTCAACAACTTGTAGGGTAATTGAGAAGGAGGATGGAAAACATATTGGCGACGATGAATATAAACGGAATACTGAGGAGTCAACTTCTTAATGGAGGACAGTAAAGATGATCGATACCAGACGCGACACGTTCACTGCACGAATTATCGAAAATTGTGTGAAAAATAACAATCTGTTTAAAATGAAGCGTGCATGGCCACGTTCTTATTTTATGTTTCGAACAAATCAAATTATCGCAAGTCGAAATCAAATTATCAAACTTCTGGAAAAACTAAAACGATTTATCAAGATTTGTCCCGCATAAAAATAACATTTTTGCAAAAAAATAGCAAACAACATGAGAAGAAAATATGAATGTAATAGTCAATAGTGCCGCAGAAAACCATAAAATGAAACATCTTTACATGAAATGTAAAGATAGAATACATAGGTAAGAACTAAAGATAGATTGTTGAGACGTATTTCGCATTTTTTTAATGCGAGTTCTGTCCTAATAACACTAACCAGTTCAACATACGTGAGACGAAGCATGATGCATGATGTGTGTGGAAAGTTTTAGCTAGTGAGATTTTCAAGTTTTTTAAACCTGCAAAATTCACATATGTGAACTTCTAGATATGATAACGCAGAGGAGACCATTTTTTGTCCATTCGTCCTTCAAAATAAACCACGAAGAGTCCAACCCGCAGCAAATTTTATTGCAAATTAAAATCTGCAAATAGACATTTCAAGTAATAAATGTTCTTTCATACCTGATTACACGATTGGTAGATTAGTTATACATCCAAACTAATTCCAAGTTTGTGGGGAATTGGAGATTTGTATCTTTTTTTAATAATTTTTAACAAGTTTTTACTACAAGCACCAATACAAAGTGTGATACAATAAATATCTATTAGAAAAGTTCCACAGTTTCGATTTCCATACAGATTGCTCTTAACTAATCACGTCCCACACGGAAGACATACAACAGAACTTTAACTTTTCGGTAGAGTTTTTTTTACACGGAAATTAAAATTCTTTGTTCAGAAATACTATCATAAAATCTACTTAAACAAGTCCAGAAAATGAGACAGAAAAATAAGATGATGTCATAAAATTAAAAATGAGAAGAAGGAGAGATCATGCACTATCAGATTTTAAAGAACACGACGACGACACAATTTATGTAAAAAAATCCTCTCTCGTCCTTAAAACTTGTCAGAAATGTAAGAACACAAACTGTCACAAAAAAATGCTAACACACCCAATTCAGCACGATTCCAAGAAATGGATCTTTTTTAATACTGCTAAAATAAGACTGACTGAACCAAGAAAGGTTTACATGCTATGTTTTAAGCAAGTGAATCAAATAAAGCGACCTTGTCGATCCCACTACTTTTTCTCGACTGAAGCTACTCTAATGGGTTAAGCTAACTTTAACCAAGCACCACAGCTTTTCATCCAACCCTTTTCCTCCTACCATCCATTCCATACGCTCCTCCACTTTTATTCCATTTGCTTCTCGATACTTCTCTTAACATTCGCTTGTGCAGCTAAAACCAAGCTCTTTGCAAACAACCTGCATCTAATAACAATCTCAGACGGTCTCCCTGTTATAATATCAAGAGGGCAAAATGTACACCTACACCATATTTACTATACAGTAACCAAAATTAAGCGTACTTTTGTGCATATTGCACTGCTTCTGGCTGGTGGTTCATGCTAATTCCAAATAATTTATGATAAGTCACACCCATGAACAATAACTTGCTACATTCCACCATTCTACCAACTATTTATATAGACAGTATCATTGTGTATATAACGCGGCATTATAATGTAGCACCGTTGGAGAGAATATTAGTGAAAGAATTTTTGTTAATGTATGCATTTCGAGCAGTATGACTCATCTCGAGTATTGTAATTCCCCGTATGGTCTTTCTCTCTTAACAGTATTTTGAATTCAACTCTGCTATTTAATAACTTATTTATCCTTATTGCGAAATCAAACATCACAGCTTATCAATAACATGTTGTTTCCAAAATAAAAATAGTTTTTTTAACATAAAAATTGCCAATCTTCTCCCTTTCAACTGGTGCATCCAACCTGAAATCGTTACTCGAAATTCGAGCATCGAATTATATCCGCTCGACTAAAAGTTTCATGACGAGTTCGAAAACTACGTCTAAAAACAAATTTCAATTCCTGGAAAAAGTACTTAAAGACTACTAGGAGTGATATCAGTCTTCTTATTTTACTGACATGTAGAGAGAAAAAAAAGTAAAAAAAAAAGTAGAAAGACATCAAGTTAATCAACCACCTTTCCTGCCACTCCAGCTTTCACCCGAGCAGTACCGTACCAACAGTGGTATATGGTGGTAGCAAATACCAGGCCCGGGGCCCGTAAGGGCCCGGGCCGGGTCGCTAGCTTTACACTAGGTATAATAGACTTTTGTGTATTGAAGATTTTACAAAAAAAATCCAAAATTCATTTCTTACATGTAAGAAAATTTATTTGTGTGGAATAATTTTTGTTTGAATGTATCTAACGTTAAACTGCTAGATATTATTTGTTTTTCATGGGTAATTATTTTTGTATGAATTTGGACAGACATACATACTGGACAATTTTTAATTTTAATAGTCTGACTTTCGGATTTTAATTAATATGCAAAATCGTCATTTTAACTGAACCTACATGTTTTATGGCAACTTGAAATGTGGCTTGCTAGGGGGAAAATTTACCATAATCTAGGGACAAACTTTGGTATAAACTTAGGACCCTTAATCTACAATGCTATGACGCCAGAGGTCTTGCTCCGATTTTGACGAAACCACGATAATTATGTAACCTTAGACAAATAAGTAATTGAACATGTGTTCCAGGATTTTTCGTAATGCTCAGCTTAAAATAAAATTATGACGGAATCCGTGAGCGAGAATTTTCATTTTTACCTTGACATTTTTCATGCGAGGGAGAAAAATACAGATTCTCGCATACGAATTCCATGATAATTTCGTATAAGGTTAAAATGCGTCGGCATGAAGTGGTTTCCTCAAATTTTGACCCGACCAATTTTAAATTGCTCACGCACTCAAGTAACCCGAAGGGTAATTTTCATCTTCCTGAATATTCGTGTTTTCGGTTGTGGAAGAATTTTTGAATACATTTTCAGCCAAAGCAGGATTTTTCAAAAAGTTGCTAATTTTAAAATTTGAACGCTATTTCAAAAATCAAGGGACATGTTTTCTAAAAAATTACCTCTATAAAATTATAAAAACCTACTCCAAGCAACTTTGCGGGGCCTTTTAAGATGGTATTAATGCCATCTTGATAGTTAATGGCAACACATTTGGGTGGAAATGACATCCACTGGCCAACCACTTGACCGATCATACCCATCTCCGAACTCATCCTTACTTTTTACCTGAAGATGAAGCATGCAAAATTTCAACTCGATAGCTTTTGTTTAAAGAGAGTTATCGTGTCTACAGACGGACGGACAGACAGACATCTTGACAAATCTATAAGGCCATCTTAAAAGGCCTAAAAATGTTTTTGGAGAAACTTTTAATGTTTGAAACTTTTATGCTATTTCGAAATTTTGAAAAAATGTTACAGACCAGAAAATTCGAAAAATCAAAAGTTTTTGAATTGTGGAAGTTTCTTAAACTCAATGTAATTATGTGCAAAAATGTTCTTTCATTTTTGAAATGGGGTCAAAGTTTATCACTTTGAAAAACCCTGATTTGGCTTAAATATATTCACAAATTCTGCCACAACCGAAAACACGAACATTCATGAATGTTGTCCTGCAGGAAAACGTAAATTATGGTTCGGGTAATTTTGGTGTGTGAGCAATTTAAAATTACAATTTAATTGTCACTATTTTCCCGTGGATCTGGGAAAATAGTGTGCTCTAAATAGGTAAAATATTACTTCGTTCCAAGATACTATTAGTATTCTGGAGCGAAAACGATTACGTAATATCGAATATATTGAACATGAAGGGCCCGGCACTGAAGCTCATACCAGGCCTGAAAATTTCACGGTACGGCTCTGCACCCGAGCAACCCCTTCTTCCATCAACTCCCTTGGTGAATGCATGACAAAGTTGTAACACATCTCGCACACAGACTTTCTAATTTTGGAAATGTAAAATTAACCCACCTTTACATCCCATCCATCCATCCACTTACTTTTTACATTTTATATACGATCATGTTTCCCGGAAACAAAACTCAAACTCCAAGCTGTTTCTAACGAGGGGAAGAATGACCCAATTTATCTGGAGATTTGATCTGATCTACCAACCAACCAACCCAGCAAAGCAAGCAAGCAAACCATAGAAAGTAAGTAAAAGTAAAGTTTGCTTGCTTGTTCTGTGGCTAATGTGAAGTTAGGGAGAAAACCTTCAAACGGTGATTGGTTGGTACATATGAGAGCTAAATTCACCAGAACCCAAATTCAGTGAACCGACTAGAAGAATCCACACACTTGTGAAGGATAAGACCACCCTGCTTTCTCTCTCGCGTTCTGCTTGTCTCTCACTTTCACCCACTTTCTCAAAAGTCCAGCATGGAGGAAAAAGATACCCAGGCATGCACTCCTGCTGCCACGCCACGACGACCGTGGTGATCCAAAGGAGCAAGGTTAAACTGTAACGAAATTGTGCTCTCATATTCAGTTACCTACGAACATACCTCACATTTCATTACGTTCCATCTACTTTGGGTGGGTTTCAACATTTTCGGAATCGTGTATACTTTAAATTCACGCTTATTATTTACCTGCTCCACATTTCCCTCTACATGAAACGAAATACCTAATTTTCGAACCGTTTCAAATCCCTTAGGGAAATTAAATAAGCTTTATAACAAAGTTTCTACACATACAAAGAAGCGTGTAGTGTACGGTGTGTTAAGTTGGTGAGGAAAAATTCTCATATGTACCTATTGCTTTGCTGCTGCTCATTTTATTTAAGTCGTTGAGTATTATTGCGAGTAAACAGGTAAAGGTATTTTTTTCCAAGGGAAGAAAAAAAATAGGACTTTTTAGAGGTTTTGCTAGATCAAACGACATACTAAAAGGCGACCTCCTCGTCGATTCCCATGTGGGCAGAGAAAGAGACAAGGAGAAAAAACACGGGAGACGACATGTAGCGCCCCGCATTTTGGCACTAAGAATACATAATATATGACCATCGATACCTTCCCCAGTTTTAAATTGTATTTGCCAATTTGTTAGTAGGGTGATAAAATAAGGATGAAAAGTCAGGTAGAGGAATGCAATCCTTATTGAATGCCAAGAAGGATATACACCTCCACACTAACGAGACTAGACTATGGTGTTGAATTTGGGTATAGAAATTCAATAATCTATTCAATTCGACAAGCAAATCAACCTTATTCAGGTTTGTGCCACCACCAAAGTACAAATTATAGGCTTTGATTATTTCGCAAGTAGACAAAACTTATGATTTCACTTTGTAATTTATAACTTATCAAAATAATTTGGTAATTTAATTCATCCCAAGACAGACATCAATACGGCGACGAGACTGTTTGTTAAGTCAACAACGAAGTGCAATCACAAAAATATTACAGATAATGACATGACCCTTTGATCCGTGATATAATTTTGTCAAATTATGTACTTATTAGCATCCTCGCTTGTTAAATAAAGGGAGCATTACGTTTCCAAATAAAACCAATCTTACCGTAATAACTAGAATATAATGACTGGGAGCTATGTAAGTAACACGACATAAAATTTGACTTCTGAATGTATCACCAATTTCTTATTGTATAACGCGACCCGAGAACAGTGGTGAAGCTAATGTACAACATTTTAAAAGATTACGGTACCATGGGACAAACATATGTGACGTATGTATGTACATATATATACATTGTTCGAGACATATAAATAAGTAAATCTCGCCTCGGTTCCATTTTTTCTCGTATGTTACCAGGAACGGTGGTAAATGATGCAGGGCGACTCCAAGCAGAAGGTAAATATAAACTCGTTGTTTTTATTCTGACGTGCTAGGGTTTAAAAGTATGTGTGGCATGGCAGGAACAAGCAGTAAAGTACAGTACACCCACACACAAAGTCTAAAATGGTACGAGTTCAGATCAAAGTGAAAGCAACCGCAAATCCAGAGAAAGATTTCCTCGCATCACCAAACACATCAGAAGTGTAAGTGCAAAGTGTCATGCAAAATAGCATGTTTCCCTCTCACGTCATTATCCTTTGTTCTCTCTGCAAATTATTTCTACCCGGCTGACCACCTCTCCATTCGAGAGCTTTGAAACAGAAAAAGTTTCGGTTTTAAAATACACAAACTTACAGAAAAGCACTTTGTCTCATAAATAAGGCAATGTTTACAAGTTTTTCTTGAAATAAAT